AACTGTTATATCTGAGAACGCCAGATACAGGAGGGGAAAGGTGGGGGAGGGGGGGGGGGCTGGGAAAGGGAAGGTAATTCGCAGTACTTCGTCTGAGCAGTTCGTTGTCAACTCTGCCCTGAAATTATGGTAACTGCACGATTGTAGGCCTGTGATCGAGAATCGAGACACAGCGTGTTCTATGAGCTGGTCTGAAGTCGCTTAATTCATCTCGCGATGATGGCCCAAGATTTCGGACCTTTGGTTTACTTAATTTTGATATTCAAGTTCGTTCTAAAATTAGAAGGCAGGTTATGAATCACGAAACAATAATGTTTTAAGGCTGATTTTAGGCCACCTACAGATCCACAATTTCGCACTCCGACATCAAGTAAGGAGTCAGCCCGATTATGAAACTTAAGTTAGGCGCGTCGAAACTGGAACCGTTTATGTCTCTGTAAGTGGCCGACCCCCATCTGTAAGAGAACAAAATTACAGCTGCCCGACTTCGACAGACACATATCCAAACACATGTGTGCTTTAAATACTTTCAGCTTATGTGACCACAACAGCTTCGTCTTCAGCGCTAATGAATAATGTCGATTCAGACGGAATACCTTGCTGACTGTGCTGTGAAGACCGTTGATGACGCACGCAAGGCCACCAGGAAACTGCTCGAACTTGGCCCATCAATAGTAATCACTACACTGGGCTCGAAGGGTGCTGTTTATGAAACAAAAGATGGAAAAACCGGGCATGTGACAGTGCCGCCGGTGCAAGCTGTCGAAACTACGGTAAGACTCCGCAACCATCAGAAATATGAATTCCTTCGCTCATCAGCTTTTAAATATGATACTTCATCGTTCCGAGCCAATCGCCAAACTGCATGTAAGCGAGGTAGGAAAATGAAGAAAACAGAGAAAGAAGGATGGAGCAGAATAACGAGGCCCAGTGCAGGAAACTCTACCTTAAATTTTCATTCTTTTTTAAGTGAAGAACATAAGTTGAAGGATGCTTCGTATGCAGTTTGTGTGAGTGACCAAAGTGCCTGGATTAGCCTCAACATGCCCGGTTTTTCCATCAGCACGTACCATTAATAATTTCTGCTGACAGGGCTGTCAGTGCTCCTATTTACCAAGAACCGTTGGCGGTTTTGAAATGCATCAGAATATCAGTTTACTACCAAATCGGACGAATTACAGAGGGACTGGTTGTCCCATTGGCAAAGTTGAAGCTTCCGCTTGTAGCAAGAGAACAATATGATTTGCTACCCAGCTTCAGTTTAATACTGCTTTGTCTATTATTCCTCCACTGCATCCTTCAACTTACAAAATCTGCAACTGGTGAATAGTAAGTCGTAAGTAAAGATCTATCCAAACAGGACATTAAAAAACTAAATATAAATGTATTTCTTGAAAAAAAAAGCTGAAATACCACTCCCTGATTGCCTTCTTCAAAACCGCTCTATGCTACCTACTAGAGCCAGATTAAGTTCTGAGTCCTCTTTCAGGGTGCAGGCGACAGCTTCTGCGGTGCGTTGGCGTATTTCCTAGTGAAGCGGCCTGAACTTGAGCTGGAGGATCAGATACGACGTGCCGCACTGATCGCCTCCTATTCCGTACAACGAAAAGGCACCCGCGACTCATATCCATGGCCGAAAGATTTGCCCACTGAGTTGCTCAAATGATCAAAATCATTCCTGAAAAAGAGAGTGCAAACGAAACAAAATGTCGAATAGCGCACAACGATTGCCACCATTCTGCATACATTTTGCGTCCACCGGATCCTTGATATTAATTGTGTTTAAAGTACAAATATCTTCGATTGAATATATGACAGCACATAGATGGAAAGACAACTTCGACCCTCTTGTAAGGAGAAGGAAAATATTGACAGAAGCATTAAAAATATTTGGCGCAGAATTTAGCCATATAGTGCAATAT